AACTACCTGGGGAAAGTGCGGCAGCTTTTCCCATACTTCCCAGATTCAGTCCATAATCTCCTAAAAATCTGGTTCTCACCCTAGGATTGATAGAGTCAAATAGCCTCAAGAGGCTGCACTGGTAAGGAAATACTTCTCTTATCTGCAGCAAAGTTTGCAGCTGTGCTGTGCTCTGGTCTGTTCCATACAGATCTCCCATGCTCATTAGTCGTTACTAATCTGTTCTGAGTCCTCTTCTCCTCCACCTTTTATAACTAGGTTCATACCAGCATCTACTGTGAAGACTGTTCAGAGGATATTCTCTTTGGCCATTTGAGAACTTGGAAGGTGTTTAATTCTCCTTAGCAAATAAGTGGTTACTAAACCCGTGAGAAAGAAAGATGAAAACAAAACAAAGTTGGTGATATCTTTGGATAGAATTTGTGGGGGAGGTTTTGGACTGGCTGGCAGATTCATAGTTGTGCTTGGACAGAGGATTCTGAACCTCCCTGTCTCTGGATCATCTGTTAAAGATCAGTTAATCCAACCCCCCCCATCTGGAGCAGGATCAGCTAGAGCAGCTTGTCCAGGTCCCTCTCCAGATGGCTTTTAAATATCTTCAGGGATGGAGACTCCACAGCCTCTCTAGGCAACCTGCTCCAGTGCTCTGTCACCCTCATAGGAAAAAAGTTTTTCTTACGTTCAGACAGAACTTCCTGTTATTCAGTTTGTGCCTCTTGCCTCTCATCCCATCACTGGGCACCTCTGAGAAGAGTCTGGTCCCATCCTCTTTACTCCCTCCCTTCAGATACTTATACTCACTGATAATGTCCTCCCTCAGTCTTCTCCAGGCTGAACAGCCCCAGCTTTCTCGGTCTTTCCTCATTTGAGATAAGCTCTAGTCCCTTAATTATCTCCAAGAAGATACAATAAACAAACTGCATGAATGGGTAGGGTGCTGGAATGTTAAAACAGGAATGTTGTGCAAGGTGCTTGTGGTTACCTGTGACTTGAGACACTGTAACTTGAGGGCTGTGGGTGTATTCTCTCTCTTTGTAGTTTAAACCAGCAGAAGGTGAGGGTCTGGGTAAGCACTCTTAATGAAAATGTGAAAAAATGTGAAGAACTCAGTGCAGTAAATGAGCTGTTCCTCTTCATTAGCCACTAGATGCTACTGTCAGCTCTCCTTTCTGCTTGTTTTTGAGGCACAGCAGCATAATGAGGGCTGTGCTGCAGAAAAAGCTCTGCTGTATCAGCTGCAACCCAGCACAAACTCTTGTCATAAATGCACAGTTACTGACTAAATACACCGTGGTTGCTTTTCCAAGAATAACTGTGTGTGCACTCAACAGGATGGTCTATCTTCAGAAGAGCAGTGAAGTTCAGCCTGCTACATCTTCCTGTGGTTCTGCTCCTGAACCCCTGCTGGCCATTACACAGCCAGAGAAAGAGCTTGTCCCTCTCCCTTACAATGCACAGTCAGGATTTGGAAGGTAGAAATTTTCATGGGATATACAGAATATTGAAGTTTGGCTCTGTTACTGGCTGCATTAACCCTCATAGCATTCACATCCAAGTTCTTTTCATCGGTGTAGCAGGAGGAAGGAGGACAAGTCTCTCCAGAGGTAAACATGAGAAGGAGATGAGGTCTTTTTGAGCTGCATCCTCAGTACAGGACACAAAGCTCTGTTCCTCACTGCACGTCTCACGTCTGAGGGGGCTTTTCAGGACAGCCTGAGGCTTCACTCATGGCTCTCTACCAAACTGTGAGTGAAGAGTCACTCTCAGGAATTCTTTTCCTGCTCTTACAAGTTGAGAGATGAAGGTCCTTTGCTGCTTTGAGGAATTTTCATCARTTGCATTTGGCTGTAGGCAGATCGACAACAAATAGAAGCTGTTGTCCCCGCACTGTCCCAGGTTGCAGCTTGGTAGACATTTGGATATAGACAGTTGGACGTTTCTGCCCCAGAAGGGTGGTGAAGCCCTGGACTGATTACCCAGATATGTGGATGGATTTTCATCCTTGGAGAGTTTCAGAGGTTGGCTAGAAAAAGCTACAGCATTGGCAATAGTCCTGCTGGAGCCGGAGGTTGGACCAAAGACTTCAACAGTCTCTTCCAGCCTGCATTTTTGTGATATTCTTTAATATCCTCTCTAGCTTTTATTGGAATAGAAAGTATTTCATGTTGACCAGTTACAAATCCAGACTCTTCTTGAGTTTGAGGTTGGATTTATTTATTGGAAAATTGCTTTGTCTGTATTGCCATCGAAGGCCAACTCATAGGCACTTCCATAGCAGTCAGTGCTGTTCAGAGGCTGAGACGAGGGATGATCACACTGAGTAGCTTTGTACAGGGGAAAGAATATGGAGCTTTTAAAATCTTTTTTTTTTTTTTTAACCACTTTTTGAACAGGTTAGGGGAGGAGCTTTAAACAAGGCAGAAATAATAACACAGTGACCTGGGTTAGGCAGCATTTGATGCAGCTAAATACATGAAATGAAGGGCTAAAATGGATAAATTTAGGAAGCAGATTCTTTGAGAGAACRATCTGGTAGAAGTGATAATGATGAGACCATTTTTAAAGGTAAAAGTCTGGGCAAGCATTTCCATAGGAAGCTGAGACATGTGCCTATAAAGAATAAAATTCCAAGACCTGTAAGTGTGGTCAGGAATTATTGTTAATGCCCCTGGGAACATTTTTGACACATACACACTCAAACCCCTATGTCTCCTGCATGGGGTACTGGTTTTCAGCGACCCCAGGGGAGGGAACTGATCAGCCTAGTTTAATTGGCCAGTGGGAGATTACTGGAACTTGACTTTTGTTGTTTCTTTGTACTGTGTATAAGAAGACATATCCGTTATGCTCTACGTAATATGAATTTGAGAGCCAGAGGGTGGACAGGAGGTTTGTGGCTGGTTGTGTTTGCACTACCATGCTCATTTTGCTTTGGGCTATACCCTGTGAGGCTGCCTGGGATATAGCCCAAGTAACAGCAAAGAGCCAGATGAGCAGCAGTCTTGCACAGAAAGCATGAGAGACCCTATTCTGCTTGGAGATAGACTTGCAGGCAGGCAGGAGTGCTCACTCCCGGGGTRTATGGTGACTTCTGCAGGCCATTCCTGCCAGAGAACTGCAGGAGGGAATCGGAAGGCAGGTCTTGTCATCCCCAGTCATTTTACTGTCATTTGGCTTGAAGCAGCAGGTTGGTGTATTCCTTAACAGTATCTGGGTATAGAAACATTAACAAAAGCTGCTGAAGCCTGGAGCAGAGTACAAGTGATGGGTATTTAGTGTAGACAGTAACACATGCAGGGACACATCTGTGTTTAGCTGGGGAAGAGATCTTGACATATGTGTTTGGGCTTTGACTGGTGGGAGTATTTTCAGCGATATGTGCAATGTGGTGCCTGTGTTTGGGAGGTTGTTCAGGCAGTGACTGAGCAGCAACCTAAGGCTTTTCCTGGGGGCTGGCTCRTGGTTCCTGCTGCAGGGGCTCTGGGGAACTAGTCTGAGCAAGGGGAGGGCTGCTGGGGACTGTCCTCGACCCTCTGGGCTGGGCTGTGCAGCACTGARGTCATCTGATGTCCGTGTTATCGTGTCTGCACTCAGCACAGATGCATCAGCGCTGMCTTTTTTTAAAGAGAATCAGGAATTACAGCAGCCATTGTGGTACTGGCTGAGACCTCAAGCTTTGGGGGTTTTTTGGAGACTTGACAACCCCAGAACTTCTCTGTGGGCAAAATTTACGTCACGGGAAGACCTTGAGGGTGGCAGGACTTGGTTCTCACTGGGTGCAGCTGCTTCTGGCCCTTGTGCCTCACTTGCTGTCCTTCCCACAGGCTGCTGCACTATTTCCGGGGCCGACACCATTTGGAGGAGATCATGTACAACGAGAACATGCGCCGCTCGCAGCTCCTCATGCTCTTCGACAAGTTCCGCAGCGTGCTGGTTGTGACCAGCCACGAGGACCCAGTGATTTCAGTCTTTCAGTCACTCTTAAAATGACTGTTGGCAGGGAAAGGAACCTGCTACACTTTTGATATCAGTGTCTTTCTAAAAGAGAAGACTTGAATGTAAATGAGCTGAATGTTGAGTTCCCTCTTGCCATGTGGCCTGCAGCAAAGTCTCCCCCTCTGCGCTTCAGTCTCCCATCTGCTCCTGTGAGATTTCCCTTCTGAGCTCCTGAACGGCTGAGACTGGGCTGTGTGCTGCAAGACTGCGCTATCGCTCAGCATGGATTTGTGGTGAGGAACTACCATTGTGTAATGATCCCCTGACCCTCCTGCCTCCCCAAGGCTTGTGAGAGCRCTCCAAGAAGGTTCCTCCTGCCTTGTTACACACAGTCCTGTACTTGGTGGCTGCTGTGCACCAGAAAGGCTCTCTGTGCTTGTCACCACGCCGACTGCTGGATCACTGAGCTGGCAGTGCAGCGCACGAGCAGCAGGTGCCCGCGCGCCCATGGCAGCGCCTCTCCTCATGGGCAGAGCGACACTGGCCTGGCCTCAGCCTCACACACTGGCCTGGTCTTTCACAAAGTGCCCCTGGGCCCTGAGGAATTCTATTTGCTCATTGTTATCTAGCACCAGCGAGGACATAGGTAGGAATGCAAGTGCCACATGAAAACAGGATCATGAATGAAAACAACTAGTTCACTGTGATACTGCGTTTCACTCCCTGCCCCAGTAACCTTATTGCTAAGTGTCTGTAGGGGCTGTGTTACCAACTGTGTGTTCTTGCTTGCAGGGCTGCATTTTGAACGTGGTGAAAGGAGCTTAGTTGTTGAGCAGGAACCCACTCAACTTAGTTGCTGTTACAGAATCCTAGATGCAGGTAATTGCCATGCAGGCCACCCAGAGTTCCCCTCACTTTGCTGCTTTTCCACCTCAACTCAGCCTGGATCCATTCACAAGGAAGGGACCAGTCCTTGGTGCCCTGGATGGCCCCTGTTTCAGCAGTGTGCCCCACAGATAAAAACTCCTCCACACTTTGTTCATGGTGATAAAGAACCTTTATTGTTAAAACCCCCAAGCCACCATCCTGTGCTCGCCGCTGCCAGGACAGAGCTTGAAGCTGTTGTATGGAGTGCAGCTCAAGTCCTGCTCTTTGGARCTCCTGCAAGACTAGTCAGCTCAAGGAGGAGCAGCTCAGTGCTGCCATCTCTCTCTCCACCTTCTTGTCAACAACACTCACATATTTGTTGCCTCTTAAATAAAACCTCAGAGGTTTCTGTGCCCACTCTCCCCTGTTGCCAATGCCAATCCTGGCCGTAGCCACCACATCCTGTTCTCCCTGCGGTTTGGTCCCAGGCACCACCCAAATGGCTGCGTCTCGAGCCAGATCCCTTTGGTCAAAATCCTTGTCGATRGCGAAGGCCTGGCACAGCTTGGAGGGCCCGTTGCAGAGCTGCCAGTCCTTGAGCGCCGTCGTGGGGGCCTTCCTGGCCGCGCTGCGCAGCGCTCGCATCGCATCCAGATTCTCCAGCGGCTCCAGTGAGCGAAGCAGGACAGCAGCCCCCTCCCCTGCGCAGGACAAGAGCCAGGGGTCAGTACCGCCTGAGCTGGGGACAGGGACAGGAGGTCCCCAGTGGTGCTGGTGGCCGCCTGCAGGGCGCAGGGCTCACACATCACTGCAGGCACCACCATCCCGCTGCAGTGACACGCTGTTTAACCACATGCAAACTGAGACTAAGACAGGCACCAAGAACCTCTCGAATTTTAGCCCCAGTCAAAGCACTGAAATTAGCTCTGAGCCTCTGGCTCCACTTAGCTTCAAGGAGGAGACTCTGGCATCAGCTGCGAACCCCATGGCCACTGCACTCCCTCCCCTATTCTGAATAGGTTTAAGAAAAGAATGGTTTAGGAAGCCTGTTCTAATAGGAAAGAGGGATTACAAATTTAAACACTCAATTCTAGATCTGTTAGTAGGGGACATGAACATGGCTTTGTGCAATTACATGCTCACAAGTGGCTTTACATTTCTGACCATGAGATGCAAGGCCAGTGAGTGCCGTGTCAGCAGAGATGCCATTTCTGTGCCAAGGGATGAAGGGCACTTTTCTCCAAGCTGATTTATCATCTTGGCATTTCGGAAACACCAGCTTCCCACAGCGACTGTGACCAGCTGCTCCCTGAAACTGGCGGCAGCGAAGCAGAGGTGCAGCCCTGAATACCGAAATTGTTCCTGGGCAAGACATGCCAGCCAGCGTGTGACATAAGCACTTCCCAGGGGGTTTCCATCAGACCACAGGGGACGCCTTGTCATGACCCCGCGGGGGCGAGCACAGAGCTTRGCGGAGGGGACTCTGCTGCCCCACAGGCAGCCCTTGTGCCGGGGCCGCCCACGACATTCCTGCTCTTTGGCATCTGCGTGAATCTCCTCTCCAGCCTCGCACATCTGGAGCCACGTTCAAGCCTGGCAAAATCTTCTCAGATAGATCTTCCAGGGCCTGCAGTTTCTAAAACTTCAGCCTAGCTCGGGTTTTGTACAAGTCCCACACTGAATTACCCTCCTGGGCTCCCAGCTGAGCAAACCAAGCAGCGTTTCTTGCTTTTGAAGCGTGGCTCTTGCCTCGAACTGCAGCGAGCCCCCACTGCCCCCRCTGCCCTCAACAGACTCCCTTCCAGCAGCTGTCAGCAAGCTGTGTCCAGGCACCCCCTCCTCTGGCCAAGGGGACTGATGCTAATCTGGCAGCCAAAAGCAGCTGCCCTGGCTACAGAGATTTGGAGCTCAACGTTCATTTGCGATTTTTAAGAACATATTGCACATCCTAATTCTGCTTTTCATCCATGCACAGGGAAACGGCCTCTGCTTAGGGATGATGTCTCGCTCGCCAGCAGCAGCTGTGGGATGCTGAGCAATTGCTAGCTACACTACTTGCCTTCATCCCTCCCTCACAAAGGCAAGTGGAAGCTGTGGTTACATGAGACCTAAATGGAGTCCTTGGGAAGCGATAGGAGCGTTCAAACTCCATGCGCTGCGGGGCATGTGCACGGCAGAGGCAGGAGGTACCTGCCCCTGCCGGCCCCTCGTGCGTTTCCAGCAGGCAGTGCTCACAATATTTTGGGCTGTGCGTGACACGGACACCCCGCTGCTCTGAGTCRGCAGCCTCCGAATGCTGAGCAGCAGCAGCGGCTTTGGGAAGCAGGGCACACAGCAGGCAGGATACACGGGCACGAGTCCGGGGCAGCTGTGATTGAGCTGCTGCCTTCTCGGGCCCGCCTGCCGCCCATGGGCTGGGACAGGTCCTGCTCTTGCACCTTGGAATTTTACTCAGTTCCTGAAGAGCAGTTGAATCCTTCCAGCTCGTTCCTGTCTGCCAGTGCCGGACCATCCTTTCTCCCTCTCCGCAGCCTGCAGGAGTCTGGAGTCAGAGGCTGCCTGACAGAGATGCAGCCACCAACATGCCAGCAGCAGCAGCATGAGCTCCGTGTTCCCATCCAGAGGTGCTTTAACCCTCGTGCCAAATAGAGACACTTTGGATAAGAGTTCAGAGCTGCAAACTGGGGTCTAGCAGCAAGGCAGAAGGTAGTTCTTACCCAGTGCAGCTAGAAGTCATAAAATGATAGGGACATCCCACACGCCTTGTGCAGCTTGCTGCTCCTTCCTGGGCCGGGCTCCAGCTCTCATTCTTGGAAACAGCCCTTGGCTGCTGGAGAGAAGAAAATTCTCTCCTCTCTCCACCCATCTGACTCACTGCTCCCAAAACACTTCCTTCAGAGCCTGAGCCCAAAAGTTACGAGGAAGTCCGGGCCTTGTGACCCTGGGTCTGGGTAGAGGATCACCAGTTGTTAATAGCTATTACTTCAGGTCTGTCAACAAAATGCTCAGATTGGCAAATGCTGGCTGAACAAATCACAGCAAAGCCAAAGAGAGGCTCGACGTGGTGGCATTGACTCCTCCTGCAGGGAGGCCCCCGACGTCCATCAGCCAGGATATGCAGTAGGAATCGTGCACGCTGAAAGACAACTGTAATGTTTTTATAAAAACTTTTGTCACCTAGGATTTCTCCGACTATATTCATGTATTRAAAAACCACACGCTGATTGATGCACTCGATCCAGCAGAATTGGACCCAGGGACAGGATGACCTTTCACAGCTAAAATTCACGTGGTTCTRCTTTAGCTTGGTGATGTGCACACAGATTTCCACACATGTGGTGACAGAGTATTTTGAGACCGCCCTTCACCTCATTATGGTTTTATGAATGCAAAAATAACAGTTAAGAGAAATGAAAGTGCAAAAAGCTGAAATCCACTGAATGCTTAACCGACAGTATCTCAACTTCTTGCTCCAACGAGGTGGCAAAGCAACGGGCAACAGCTGGAGGGCTTTTGGTGCCTCTTGGCAGCAGTGAGCCGGGCTGGGCACATACTGGGCTGCAGACATTGGTTCTGATCTGACCTGAGTTACAGTGACAGTGTCTCAAGGTTAAACTGTTGCTGCTGGAGGTGCTCTGTCCAGCGCCTCTGCCACCCCGCTTTGCGCGTCAAGCACATTGCCCACACGCAGGTGACACTGCAGAACCTGCTATTAAAAAAGCCAGTGCTGTGAGTTGACACATCAAAACAAGGCAAAGGGCCGGAGTCCCACATGTCACATAGCTTCTTGACATATCCTGAGCTGATGAAGTGTCAAGCAGGCCCCAGCACCATTCCAGTCAGTGTCTGGCTGCTTTCTAAATGAAGGCTGCTGCAGCGGGACAGGCCGTGAGCAGCATTTCTGGTAGGGGAAGAAGCAGTACAGGTACAGCCCTGCACTTTGATCTCTCTCCAGTAAAAAGTCTGCTGCTTTCATTAAGCCACAGCTCCAAATCAGCATGCTGGCCGCTCGCTTAGGAGCCTGAGGAGCAGCAGGACAGCTGTCACTGCTGGGGCTGAGGAGGATGTCCTGCTTCTCTTAACTGCTTCCTCTCCTCCCACAAGGATCCTGGAATTTAAGTGGCCTCCAAACTAGGTAGTTTCATGTTCACCAGCACAGTTACAGCTCTCCAGCAGGGGCCCCGACAAGCTGGGGAATAACAGTGCTCAACGCAGTACGAAGGTTTCAACGCAGAAAGGACATTTCCAACCCACGGGGAGAGATGACCCTTTTGCAAGCAGCTGGGCTCCTCTGCGGAACCCTGCAGAGTACAGAAAACTCATACCAAGCCCTCAGAAAGCTGCACTTCTAAGCACTTACTGTGCTAAAAAGGTAATTAGTTACCTAAACRAGAGAGCGAGCTCAGGATCTGATAGCCTTGGTGCACAAATACTTCCAGGTCCTGCCTTACCAAACACTCTCTCAGCCTCTTGCCCCATGCCACCATTATCAGGACTGCAGGGAGGATCAAGGCACTGTGTTCAGCTCTTTTTAAAGCATGAGAAGGTCCCAATGAGAGAGGTAGGAAATTAGCAGCGATAAATTAGTTCTGTTTTTACAGACTGTTTTCTCTCTGCTTTGCTGCATTGAGAGTCACTGTCTTGTGCATTCCTTAGGGAACAGGGAGGCCSAGAGCATTCAGGGGAGACTGTTTTTCTAAGACAACAATAAGGATGTAAGAGATAAATAGGGTGCTAAGTGTTCTGTTAAACTCCCTCCAATTCCCCACCAGCCCTACCTTCACAGGGCTGGCTTGCAGCTATTTAAAAAGAGGGATATGAAGTGTTTTTGTTGGCTGCAGTCATGGAGAAAGCAGATCCTGGAGGCGCTGTTTGAAGCACCATGAAAGCAAGTTACTAGTATTCACCCTGTTCTGGGTATATTTAGGGACTTCTCTGTACTGGAAACTTAGCTTCTCCTTTGGAGAGRGGAAAAAACAGAGAGGCTGTTATATTTATCTGGAAACAGCCAGGAGTACCCTGATAKGGGAATTAATTGTGCTCTGCTATGCAGTAAGGGAGCAGGCAGGGTGGAGAACTTGCACAGTGAGTCTTGGAGTCTCTTACTCAAACAGCAATCCCTGTTGCTTTCGGCAGGTAGAATTTCTGAGGGATTCTCAACCATTAACTACAGGTAAAATATTTGCTACACTCTTATCAAAGTGTTTGGAAAAGCAGAGTTCAACCTTTCTTTCCACAATCTTTTAGTGGAGATCAAAGATTTTAACTTTTCCTCCTTATTATTCTGATAAAGGACAAGCGAGTGCAGCACATATGCACTCCAGAGACTTTCTRTCTTGAAGGAGGGGAGGAGAACGGGGGCATTTCTCACTGCTTCTTGATAACTTGACTGGTGATGGCAAAAATAAAATAAAAAAGGCACTATGCCAGGACAGGGTAGTTTAACTTAGCTGCAGTTCTCAGCTCCTTCCATCCTTAACTATCTTCACACATCCACAGACACACAAATCTCCTAAAAGCTGGATCCCAGACAAACAGCCTGAGATTCTGTTCYGATTTTCCTGCTATTTGTACTCCCATCCATCTTTCCAAGAATTCATTATTGATTTTTAGTTAGTGCTAGCTTTAAACATCTAAAACTGCACCAGATCTCAGTTAAGCTTTGTTAAAAATAATATATGATTCCAAGAGTAGTTTGAGGCCATTTGCCCAGTGGCCAAAGAGAAACAGCATCTTTCAAGAAAGAATCATTAAAGAATCTCTGAGAACTGGCTGGCTGGGATGTGGATGTTGTAGAAGATGCTAAGCACACATTCATCTGCTGAAATCAACCTGAAGTTCTCCYCTAAATCTTACATCATTCAGTCTGAACTTTGCTAACACACAGGTCAAAGTCAAAATGTCTCCAGGCTAAGGAAAGGGTCATTTTGTGTGTGTTCAAAGACCATCAAAGGATCCACAAAAGACCTTTACCCTATTCCCTTCTCAGCTCCTCCAATTTGCTACCCCAGCAAAACCATAGGTATTCTCAGATTCAAACCCCAGCTCTTAAATAAAGCAAGTTGCACTGTTGTCCTGAAATCTGTGTGCGTGCCTGGACTAGTTCTCCTCCTCCTCTCCATCTATAGAAGAATACAACAGAGCTGGAAGTGATTCAGCGACAGGCAACCAGGATGATCAAAGTTAGSGACTGGCTTTGGAGGGGAAGCCTAAGGAAGAAATAACTAAGTAGGCTCAAAATCTTCAGCCTGGAAGACAGCTGAGAGGGATATATGAAAGATCCAGGGAGATCAGAGGAGGCAGAAGATGATATATGGGAATGGATATAATCACCCCACRGCCTCTGCTGTTTAACCCCTGCTGCTCTGCAGCTATACGCTKCCTAAATCCCAGCAAAGTGCAGTCAGGCTCTGGGATGTCACCGGGAATGTGTCCCTGGAAAAGGCAAAGTGTCCTCTCAGTAATCTGTGCTTCTATCTTCCAAGTGACACCTTCATGAATTGTGTTGTTCATTATCTCTTTATAATCTCCTGGTCAGTTATTCAGCCTTTCAGGTTTTAATGGCATCTCCACAGAGACCCTGAACTACTCAGGTATTTTGCATTAAATTCTGTGCTCAAAGCTAATGAAAACAGACACATCAGAAAATTCTGTGCACAGAGATGACGAAAACAGACACATCAGAAAATCATATTATAAGGGACCAAGCTAAACTACAACAGACCTTATATTTTAACAAGACTCTGTATGTAGCAAATTGTTCACAAAGGACTATACTCACATTTCCTTTAGTGAAAATTACCTTGTGTTTCTACATGGCCACAGCAATTATAAATGAAATTCCCAAGATCTGTCAGGTAGCCAGAAAAACRAACGTTTCTGCCTTCTCCCAAAGTGGGCAGATGCAACCACAAGAGATGACTTCCTCAATCTTCCTTCGTACTGAGCAACAGGACAAGCTCCTCTCTATCTAGGTGAAGATGGGCAAAGCATCTCAGATAGAAATTGCTCCCTCAACAAATTGTTTCTTTCAACAAATTGGCACATGAGCAACTAAGCTGAAGGAGTAACTGCTGCTTATGTAAGTGCATCCAGTGACGTGGGACATGCACAACGATGCTATTTACTTCAGTGGGTTCCTGAAAAGGTGCTGATGAAAGCTGTACTTTGTGTCAGCATAGCTGTAGCAATGCAAGAGCAAGAGCTGGCTAATGGAGAATATAGCAAAAATCAGCTCCATCACAGCAGTGAGGAGCTCTTTGGCTCATTTCTTACAACGCTAAACAGAGGATCGAAGGGGAAATTTCACAAAGCATAAAGTTCAAAGAAATCTTTACCATTCAAAGATTTAACTTTTTTTTTTTTTAAGAAGAACTACTAATCTAATATTTTGAACACTTAAAATTGCATCCTGAATAAAGACCCACTCTGCTTTTGTTATCTGAGCAGATTTGGCAGGGATGTAGTAATGGAGTTCACATGTGTTCATCCATCAGACACCAGACTTTCCCTTAGGAAGCCAGGCTCTTCCCCCACAGCGTAACCTGGCACCGTTTTGCTGCTTGGCTCTTGCCCAAAGGCCAAGACCTGAGGATTCCTGGTCACTGTTACAACATTTGCTTTCTACTTATTAGCACACAATTCTTTTTTGCCAAGCTGTATCTTTGTACTGGTGAAAAACAAGAGAATCTTTTTTGAGATTTTTGAAGCTAAATGAATATTTGTTGTCCTGCCATTTCACTATGTCTGTGTAACCGATAACTTTATTGCAAGGCAAACTGTGATCCTGAGAGGAAATCAGGGGAAAAAAAAGGGTTAAAAGTAACACCTGCTTGTTAAGAGGAGCTGTGAAAGAAGAGTCTCGGTAAATGCCAGAATCTTTTGAGGTCTTGCCTGCCAGTGCYGATCCCATTTCCCTTGTTAGTGAGAGGTGAATTACTTATCTTGAGAAAGAAAACAAGGTTGAAGATTCTGCATTGGTGGGTTTGTTAAAGATACATCAAAGCACCTAAAATGCTCCTATGGGATCCTTGACTAAGCTTGGGATATCTCAGACCTTTTTGTTTTTCTGGTCTCTGAGGATGAAGATAAACAACAGAAGATTTTTTGTCACATCAGGAGAAATCAAGGTTTAGGCTCCTTAASTAGACTCTAAATTTATTTCTAAATGATAACCTTTCAGAAGCAGCTTGCTGAATGGCATGAATAAGGCAGCCGTTCAGGTCATCAAATCCTCCATCCTGCTCCCACTTTAAATTCCAGTGTGTCTCTGTGGCTCATACAGCTCCAGCTAGGACTCAAACTCCTCTGTCTACTCACCGTGAAGCCAGGGATGAACCTGCTTGCCATTTGAAAGCTCATGTGTTGTCCAAAACTTTATGCTTAATTTAGGTCCCAAGGAAAAGAGTGTGGCAGCAAGTCACTGACTTCACAGACTCCACAAGAACTCACAAGAGGCTGTAACAGGGTGAGCATGGCTAGAAATATCAGACCTGTGCTGCAGGAATGACACCTCTTCCAGTCTCAACTTACCTTGGCTGGAAATATTCACGCAGAAATAGATCCCGTAGATCTGATACACATACAAAGTCCCTGGTTTCATGAACATCGCCGTGTTTCGTTGAGTTTGCTTCCCACCTTTGGAGTGGGAAGCCTCATCTTCCCCGCCCAGATAAGCTTCTGTTTCAACAATCCTCCCCCGGAGCTCTCTGCCATCAGGAAGTTTGCGAACTAAAATCTGAAGTAAAGGTCAGAGTGCATCAGTTAGCAACGTGCCACACAAAATAACCCCAGCAAGAGCTCTGGAAACAAAGAGTGAGGGGAAAAAAATTCCCTCCTCTCCCTCTAGACCACCCCGTAAGCTAACAGCAACTCTTCYAGCATCTACTGGCTGGGACACATCCCAGAACAAGAACTTTTTATCTGTCATTTACCCCAACAAATGTCTGGAATGTTTGAATGTGGTGGTATCACACAGAAAAATTTTATGACCCTATAGGCACTAAACCAGCCATCGCCCCAGGCCAGAGCACTGCTTCTGTGGTTATTATCTTTATTCTCCACCCRACCCCGCCAGGATATCTAATGGTGTAAGAGAATAAGCACCATCAGTGCCAACTCTGGAGCATCATAAAGTTTATATTCTTTAGATTGGAAGAAATATGTCATTGGCGTAATTAAATAATCCAAAGAAAGAATTAAAAAAGAAAAGCTAGTCCCTAACCGTACACATAATCATGACCAAGCTATTCATGTATTTTCCACACTGCAGAGATGGGCRGTATTTGAAAGCTGGGAACAAGGTTCAGGCAGACAATAACAGATCTTTGTTACTTCAATGTGTTCTCAGCTGCTGTTACCTCCTTAAATAATATAAAGTAGATGGAAAATAAAATGACCCTGAACAGATTCTCTTGAAAAATAATTWAAAAAAACCCCTCTAAGCTCTATGTAATGTTTTTTGTGATTGAACCTGATTTCTAAACATCTCAGTTTGCCTAATGTGTGCTTATAAAATACATCAGCGTAGTCTTATTTGGGCAACAGCTATCAGTTTAATTCTACGATATTCTATGCTTCCATATTTCAGAACAAGCGATTCTGAAATGACCGTCAAGAAACAGCTGAACTCCTGTCTGGTCTTTGCCCTGGATAGYTGACGCAGTTGCCCTTCGGATCCCGTATGGATGCTCCAGAAGTCTGTCTCCAATGCTGCAACTCCTACGTAGCGCGGTTGTCCTGCAGCACTTTCCAAATCATTGAGCAGTTTGTGTTTTCATGAAAAAAGCAGTGACTTCAGAAAAGCTCTGGTCTTTAGTCACTGAACACCCCAGAGCACACCCACGTGGCCAAAATTCCCTTCCAAGATGATGAAATTCAACAGTAACATTATGGAATGAGCAGACATTTCCCTGACTCTTCAGGCATATCAAATATCCACATTTGAAATGCAAACAGGGAGCATGCAAACTCTTTGTACTAAATGCTGGTTTTAGAGTTTTTTGTTTCTCATCAGGGATCTTTCTTGGCATTAAGAAGGTTCCTTTTGAGAGGCTGTTTATAGCTTGTATGACTGGGTATTTTTTTGTTTTCAGTGGAGGAGAGTTCGAGTATCTTGTTTTAGGTACCTAATACTAATATAAGGAGCACCTCCAAAACCTGTTAGAATGAAGACAGTGAATGAAACACAATTAACATTGTAGTTCTGTTTATAAGAGACTAAATTGGCTCAGACCAAGGGGTTATATACTATATAAAATCTGAAGTTAATACAGAACTCTTCTAGCTGGTAAAACAGGAAAAGTATTAGGACTAAACTATCAGCCTCCCAGAGTGATTGAGTGCATAGGAACATCTGAGTCATTAAGACAACAGCAACCACGTTGATTCTGGGAAAATTCAGGTATCCCCATGTAGCCTGGGTTAATCTGACAGTGGGCTGGGATGCTGATACAATTAAGTGCTTCACTGAATGGGTGAGCAGGGATCCTACAAGAGAAGTCTGAACTTTCAAACCGATCCAGAGCAGAAAGAGAAACGTTCAGGACTGCATCCCTGAAAACTGACTTTGTGTCATGATCATGAAGTACAGTCTCCTTGCACAAGCAATACTGACCAAAAATAACCTGCTACAGTAGTGCTTCCCAGCAAAAAGGGGAAGCTGTGTAAAATGAGGAAGCCTGTTAGGAAGAACCTAAAAGAGGCTGCCAAAGGTTAAAACAGGAAAAGCAAAAGCTCTAGCAGGATGTCTATAAACAGAGCAAATGTACATGACGTTTCASAGGCAGATTTGGGAAGACCAGAAAAAAACCTAGCAGGGTTAAAAAGCAGACCAGAGCCAATGACAAGTAGGACAACATCCATCAAAAAACAAAGCTAGACACCGCAAAATTGGCCAAAACCAACAGTTAGTGGAACAAATTCCTGAAGTTATCTAAACCAATGAGAAGTCAGAGAGTTTGTTGGTTCTACAGACAACAAAGGTATAAAAAAGGACAAAAGAGCTCGGAAAAGATACGGTCATAGCAGAAAAACTAAAAGCACCCTTTGCAATTGTGTTTGGGATATCTCWGGCTGAAATTCTCTTTTTCTAAAGACAACAGCGGAGGAACAGCCTCCCCTGAAAAAAGGATTATTAGCTCAGTGTGTCTGCCAACACACTAAGTCATTCAGGTTAATAAAAATAAAGCAGTGCAAGATACAACATTCCAATATACAGGGCAGCATGAAAGGAAGGATGAGGCAGTCTCCTGAACTTTCAGATAAGAATGAAATATTCCAATATGCTATGATAATGGATACTGGTCAATCTTCCGTTCTATTGGAATCACAARGTATTAAACCTGAAGCAGGGAAGGAGGTGATGCTGGCTGCAGAGCATTGATTTTCTCTGGGCAAAGCAAAAGTCAAAAAAGGAGGAATATCTACAGTGAAAATAATGGACTTGAAATAACCTTCAAACCAGAACCAGCAAAGTGCATTTCAGAAAGAAAAAAGGGAGGAATAAGAAGCTAATTCTGAAATGTGACTGTAAGCTGATCTTGAAAAAATACTCCTCTGATTTCATCGAAAACAGATTTAGTTATTAGTCTAACTTCAGTGAATTTAACACAAAAATGAACAAGCACTGTAATCCTAAAAGAGCAAAGCTGTGGCATCAAGCTGTAGAATGAGAATTTCATCTGCTTACATTAAGTTATTAGCTAGCACATGCTCCAGTAAAATACTCTGAGTATTCATGTCTTACCTGTCCCAGAAGAGACTTGGCCAGACTAATACAGGGTTGGTTAAAAAAATCTGATTCTAGTTGGTGAGAATTTTTCTTCTCTACTACAAAATACTTGCTGCTTTTTGGAGAAGAATCCCTGTCAGGAGTGACATTCAGGTTCTCCAAGCCATCAAAAGGAGCGATGCTGGACTTGCTTTGGAGAGCACTTAACTGAGCCAACAGCTTTCTTTTTCTTGGCATAATTCTGGAAATTTGATATAAACATCATTAGAAATATAAAACCTCCTCAAAAGTAACTCATTTCTGCAAACCTGCATTTCTGTATGTCTCTTCTTAACAGTGAATCTCAAAGCTATACCTAATGGGACAAACTAGGCAAACGAATAAAGCAGGTGACATATTTTGCCCTGTCTCCATCAGGCTGTGTGAATATTTGGCTTTCCTAACAAGAAAATGCAAAACTGCAGTTTGTGGTTTAATTTTTCATGGACTGTCATGGAAAAGGAATTCTGCTCCACTTAGCAGTAAAAACAAAGTTTGCAAACTGTTAAGAAATCCAGAATTTGAAAACAATGAGCCACTAAAATATGCTTCTTTCCTAGAATTCAAGTAAGCTCTTAAGCAGCTCAAAGAGGATATGAAACACCTACCTCAGAAACTGTGCCGACTCAGCAGGCTCATGGATGGGATATGTAATTAATCATTTTATACAGTAATCTAACTGGTTAAGAATGTTAATCTACTCAGGACACAGAAGATTTGAGTGGGAAAATGCCCCATTTACACTCACAGTAACAAACTCATTTCTCTCTCATGCCGTAGAAATGCTTGTGTAAGTATCTCTACAAGGAAAACTTTAAATTCACCTACCAAAGAAAGGAATAGTGTCTGTTCCAGGCCACAGTATATATTTCTTCTAGGTTTGTCACCAATTCAGCATGCAGACTTCAAAAAGCAGTTTTCTGTGCCTCGTCCTTATACCTGCCAATCAGGAACATACTTATTTATTCACTGTATAAAACATTCTATAATCTTTGCTGGTTAACAGCATCATGTTGGAGCCTAGGGGCAATGAATTAGCACCACTGCTGCAACTAGCTTTGGTTGCATGGTTTGGTTTATTTTACTGCAAAAGCACCTGCAAAAGCGAGCTGTGATCTTGGAGGGTTGCATGTGCTGCACTGGGTTCTTGCTGCGTGCTCAGAACCTCCTAGGATAGGCTAAGAGCTTATGGATCTGCAGGGCATGACACCAAGAGCACGTCAGGAGCTCAAAGAAATCATTAGGTTTTAAAAATGGCAACAACTTTCATCATCAGAAACATTCTGCATCTCAGTCTGATGTTTCCCATAAAGAAAAACAAACCAAACACCTCAGTAATATTTTTCTTGAACTACCCTGGAACAGACTGAGCAATGTCCTTCAGCAAGAGTCACAATGAACAGTGCCACTTCCCAGTACAGTTACTTTCTGCTTCAGAAGCACCATCAAGACACATACACATAAACACATGCAGCAGAAAATTTCATCAGCATGACCTGCAGAGAGGTGGTTTGATATTTATTCCAAACATCTAATTCCTTCCTGCAGTAATTCATTGATGTTAAAGATGCAGAATGACCRACTCTAGGGCATATACTTTCCTGAACTGTAGCTTGCAGCTGCATTTGCTCAAACAAAACTTGCCTGGTGCCCTTTACAAGTGAGGATCTTTGTCTGGAACAAAGAGTGAGAATGGGAAAAAACGGTTGCAGGAAGGGGCAGAAGAGGCAAACTTCCCATATCACATAGACCTCCCTGGAGTCAACCAAAGGAATGCTTCCCACTGAGGTCGGTACCTCCAGCCTTCTCTGACAGCATTAACTGGAATTTCCAGTTCATCAGCGATACATAAAGACATGCACAAAGTATGGACAATTTTTATGGGGCATTAACTCATTTGGTAGTTTGTGCTGCTGTGGAATGCAACATCAGAAACGGCCTGAGCTGCCTGGCATTTGCTGCCTTTCCAATTAGGCAGTTCTTAAAAGGTGCAAKTGCTTTCATGTGAATGCGATCCTGGCAGCCCCAGGGCACTTGTGCTTGCCCTGCTATGGGCTGACCCTCTCCAGACTTCAGCATCTTCAGCTCTCATTAGAAACTGCAGGAAGTCACTGCCTGGCAGCCTTGAATACARCAACTAAAAGCCTGTGAAAAGCAAAATGATGCAACAGACTTTATGGCTGTGAGTCAAAGGRCCAGCTCCACATCCAGTTCGGCAGAGCTGAAGTGGCTGTTAGCCCCTCAGAGGAGTCTGTGACCTGGGGAGAAAGAGGCCACATGATTTCTCTGGAGGTCAGGCCGGCTCCTCAGAGTGAAAGAAATGACTCAGCACTGAAATTCTGCACAGGGAACTTGAACTGCGCCACAGATCCACGCGCGGGGAATCCCAGCCACACTCGTGAGGCTGGCTTGCTGAGACACTGCTCAGGGCCATTAAACTGGGCCTGATCCAAGGCCTGATCCGCTATGAACTGCTCTCCTTACTGACACAGTTCCTTTCTGTTGGCACCCAGAGGAAGGACTTGTCCTACACRTGGCAGAACAGAATGGAGCACCAGTATAGAGCACTGCTGTACCACACAGCCTTGCCGCTGTGCGCTGGGCTCTGCATTAGCAAAACCAGCGCGCGGCTCCGACGCCGAGCGCGTGACAAGCCAGGGCTGCCAGTGCAGGCTAAGATAAATAGCTGAGGTCATGTCCACGCCGATGGTGAGCGCTGCAGAGCCCAGAACAAAGGCTGCGGGCCTCGCACAAAGCGGGACCTGAGGAAGGAGGGCCATTTCCTGGACGGCCTTGGAAAATTCGCTGTAGGAGACAAAACGAGCTTGTTCCGGGCAAGGGAGACCAGAAAAATGTGCATGATGTAACATGGGGCAAAATGCAAAACCCCCCTGGGAAACAAGATGCTTCCAGGAAGCCAGCGACTCACGGCTGCCTGCAGAGGCTGTGGAAATGGTTGAGTGCAGCGCTGAGCAAGGGGAGCAAACAGCTGCTCCCRTTGGCGTCACAGCGGCCTTGTCTCCTCTATCTTCATCCTCTCACAAAAAGACTGCATTGTCCCCAAAACAAGTTTGTGGGACATTGCTGTCAACCAAGTCTTTCCCCTCTACAGACCTGAACCATTGCATTTTTGTGCCATGTCACGTCCATCTGCACACGTTGCTTTTACTGCCTTTAGCTATGAAATCACTTTCTCACAAGATGTTTCTAATATCCGTTACCAATTCCATAATAACCCATTTACTTAATTTGGCTCCAAAATGACATAGGAGGTTGCAGAACAAAATYGACACGAAAGCCAGGAAAGTGCTGTGTAAATGTGCACTTCGAAAGTGTTGCTACACGTTAAAATGCATGGTTTAATGRGCAGATCCTGTAATGCTGCCTTCCCAGCCTCACGGGCACGCAGGAACTGGGGCTGCACATGCAGGAACCAGGGCTGCAGATGGAGGAGCTGGAACTGCACACACAGGATCCAGGGCCGCACACGCGTTTACCTCCAGTTCTCGTGGTCCCTGCCCGCTCTCTGCCCGCTTAGCGCACACGGAGCCCGATCCGGGCTGCTCGCGACGCACCACTCGGAGCGGCAGCGCTTGGCAACCCTGGTGATCGCGGCCCCGGAAGCCCATGGGCTCAGGCCGGCCAGCGCTTTCCATGCCCAGTGCAGCCAAGTGGCCCCAACGGGGCAGCAGCCGCATCGCTTCATCGCGCAGGAGGCAGCCGCGCGAGTTCCTGTGGCTGAGGGAGCCCCAGCCCGGCCTCCGAACAGGCC